AATACTTTTTAAACCATGAAACTGATCATATTTTAACCTCGTTACATTTCTTTTTAAATAATTAATTTGTTTCTGACCACCTTAAAATGTATTTTCAGTAAAATGCGTTTTCATTGTTAAATATTCTCTGAAAACCTTAAGTGAATTAATTATTTCATTAAGTGACTTCTAATTTTTATCATTAGGGATGAACATCAATCCCTCAAAAGGAGGACATGACAACTCGAGCCGACCGCAAGATGGTTTTGTAAGTAATTAAACTTGTTAAGACATAAAACACATGAATCTACGTTAAAATGATATAAATATCAGTTTTTTGTACAGTGCGAAGGTGAAAATGATCTGAACTACGCTGCTCTGCATTTCTCTGGAGCAAAATATACAAGAGGAAGGAAGAAAGAGCTGAAAACGGAAGAAAGTGTATACTCGGATATTAAAATCTGAGGGAGTCTGTGTGGGGAAACTGATGTGAGCTGAAATGGACTGCTACATACACTTATAATGTGAGCAAATAACTAAATAAACTATTAGTTTGGTCTCAAGCCTAGAACGTTAAAGCCTGCTGTTTTTGTTCCTGTTATACAACTTCACATTTCAATGATGTAAGTATAAAATATACATTTAAAGTCTGACTGTTGGAAAATGGCTAATTTTGTTTGTTGCCCTCGAGGACTGGAGTTTAACACCCCTGCACTTATCAATGTAACAGACCACTGTGGGTAAAACATGGTGCTGTTCTCAGTTTTTTCCCAGTCTGGTTATTTGCTCAACTCCTGTTTCCACTGTGTCTTTTATCCCCAACACTCACCAAATTGTTCTCATTTTCTGTAACTTTAGACAATTTAATGTGTCTGACTGCCTCAGAGAGATGAGTACATCTTCATTTTCATCACGAAAAACAAAACAAAACTTAGGGGCAAGAAGCAGAAGGACGGAGGATCTTTCTTTTTTAATTTAATCTCTTGTGTTTTCGACTGCTTGTGTTCGACAAAATATAACATGTAACCTCTGGCGAACTGTCCAGGGTGTACCCTGCCTCTCGCCCGTTGCTGGAAAAGGCTCCGGTCCCCCCACGACCCTGATGGGAATAAGTGGTATAGAAAATGGATAGGTGGATAACATGTCACAGTATTCAAGAAGAATGAACAGTTAAAATGTTCTTTCCTTTTTGTGTATATTAAGTGGAATTTTCTTTTAAAAATCTAATAAAAATCTACTCGGTAACCATTACTGTGATAAATATTTCTGGTTCTATTCAAAACTGTTTTGACCCACAATCAGTGGATGTGTAATGTTTACCACAGAGTATATTAAGAAATAACGGCATACACTTGTGCCTTTAACTTATTCAGAGTTACTTCCTTTGTGAACTTCCTCTTGATGAGTTGCCACATAACACATCATGTCAACACAATATGTTAATGTCCTCTCAAAGTGATGCATTTAAAATGACATGCATATTTTTTTCTAGACTCTATCTACGACAGAAGTAAAAAGTATTTTTTTCTTTTCTATTTTAAGAGAGGATACAAATCAGCCTATTTTGTTTTTTGGCTGTAAGTTAAAAATGTTACCTTCTATGAAATAACTGAAATAAATAAATTCATTTATTAATATGTAATGACTGGAACATCTTTATGCCCACCATGGCTGACCTATTCATTTATTTTTATGTTAAGTAAACATATCCCACATGTCCAATTTTTGGAAGTTTTAATCTGGAAAGTCAAATTAACATTCTCGAATATAGATGATAATTTAATTGGCCTTTGTGAACAATCCACAGATGACAATAAGCACGGCCACATTTGGTAGCTTACCGAAAAAACCTGTGGTGGACTTGAGGAACATCATGTTCTGACATTAATATCAGTCAGAACAACACTGAGCTGAAACATAACATACAACCAACCAACTATTGTCTGACAAATAAAGCAGGCGGGTAAACAGGAAGTGAAGCCACTGTTGTTACATTCTTGTTTCAGAGCCTAATCCAAGAAGTGAGAAAGTTTCCCTTAATAACATTTTAAGTAATTTATCATTTATGTATGAGCAGAGCTGTGTGCAAAAAGAAATCTATGCTTCTACACATTTTCACACAACTTTATATAGAAATATGTATCATATGCAGATCAGAGGGGCTCAACACTGATTTTTCTATCAGTTATTGACGCTATAACTGTTTTCACTGCTTAACCGGAGTCAGATAGAAGAATGCCATAGAACGCCGAAGGAGGCATTCTACCCTTTTCCGGTGAGAGACCATGGTCCCGGAATTGAGGGCCCTGATCCTCATCCCGGCCGTTGCGAACCGCTCCAGCGAGAGCTCTAGGTCACGACTTGATGAAGCCAATAGCACCACATCATCTGCGAAAAGCAGAGATGCAATCCTTAGGCCACCAAGACAGACACCTTCAACACCTTGGCTGCGGCTATATATATTCTGTCCATAAAAGTTATGACCAGAGCCGGAGACAAAGGGCAACCTCGGCGGAGTCCAACTCTTACCGGAAACGGGTTCGACTTACTATCGCCGATGTGAACCAAGCTCTGACCCCGGTCGCACAGGGACCTAACAGCCCATAACAAAGGGCCTGGTACCCCATAATCCCCGAGCACCCCCTACAGGATTCCCAGAGGGTCGAACGCCTTCTCCAAGTCCACAAAACACATGTGGACTGGTTGGGCTAACTTCCGTGCACCCTCCAGGACCCCGCTGAGGGTATAGAGCTGGTCCAGCGTTCTATGTGAAGGACGAAAACCACACTGCTCCTCCTGAATCCAAGGTCCAACTATCCAACGGACCCTCCTCTCCAGAACCACCAAATAGACGTTCCCAGAGAGGCTTAAGAGTGTGATTCCCCTGTAATTGGAACACACTGTACGGTCCCCCCTTTTGACTAGGGGGACCACCACCCAACTCTGCCAATCCAGCGGAGCTGCCCCTGATGTCCACGCCATATTGCAGATTCGCATCAGCCAAAGTAACCCTACAACATCCAGAGCACTGAGGAACTCTGGCCAAATCTCATCCAGCCCTGCCACCGCGGAGCTTTTTGACCACCTCGGTGACTTCAACCCCAGAGATTGGGGAGCCCAACAGCGGATCCCCGGGCTCTGCTCCTCTGATAGAAGACGTGCAAGTGGGATTGAGGAGGTCTTTACAGTCCTCCACCCACCGACCCACAACATCATGAGTTGAGGTCAACTGCGGCGCACCATCCACCAGTGTTGGATGGTGGAGCAGAATTGCCTCGAAGCCGCACGGAAGTCTTTTTCCATGGACTCCCCAAACCACCTCAACAACTGCCGACACCCATCAGCTGCCTCTGGAGTACTACAGGTCAATAAGGGCCGATACAACTCCTTCTTCAGCCTGACGGCATCTATCCATTTCCCAGAAGTGATGACATCCTTCTTCCATTTCTTATAAAAGACAGCACATTCAAAAGATTGAGCAGTCCATGATGGTGGACAGTCTCTGTTTAGTTTAATGTTTAATCTCTGTTTAGCTGTTTGATTTTGGCAGCAATATCTGAAGTGTTACACTTTTGGACATGTCATCTAGCCCTTTCTTCTGTGTCATTTGATGTAGACATTCTTTAAAAAGAGGATCCCCATGATTTAAAAGGATGTTTTTTTCCGATTCACATATCTGCAACAAGAACAAAGAAAAGATGATATGAAG